GTGTTTTCTGTGTTATTTTTATGGTCCTGCTCACATATTTGGGAGTGCAGTAAAGCTATAAGATTTCCCATAAGTTATTTTTGACCGCGCACATCATCACCTCTCTTGGTAAATGAAGTTCCTAGGGAAGAATGTCTAGGGAAAAAACCTCGTAGTGCGAACTGCTGGTCCTCTCAGGAGCAGCTGGCCACATTACCGTTGCTATGAGGGTTCACTAGAGTGTCATCGGTTTGGGTTTACCTTGGTAGGTAAACCCAGCTGTGCCTCGCAAAAAATTACACCCGTTTTGACTTTATCTACCATTGGAAGATTTCTGAAGTACACTATTTCACCTGCCTTCGTCTCCCCGAGGATGTCAGGAACTGTGAAAGAATAAACGATAAATAAAAATTGAAACTAGCTTCGGTTTGAGTTGGGTAAACAGAGCGTTTTCATTTGACGGATTATGAAAAAAACGCGTTCAAGTGGATGCGTATTGTTTGCCCTCGCAGCGCTAAATTTACGCTCGCTGCGCGCGACAAATTCCGCGCGACATTTGCTCGGATCGGGTCGTATGCGTTGCGCGCCGGAGAGTATAAATACTTGATTCAGCGTGTTTTTTGAACATCAAATATTTGCCTTTTATGTTTTCTAGCAAGCTTTTTCACGGCTATTTTCTATGCTCACATTTTTTCCCTTGCAAATCCCGTTGCATTCAAGCCTATTCACGAAATGCTGGGCGCTTCTATAGTTTTACTTTTTTCTGTCGGCTTTTTTTTCTAGTTTCAGCTTTTCGTTCCTTTCCTTTTCGCTTTATTTCTCTCACCTCTGGCCGGCTTACAGCTCCACTCACTGCGATGCCCACGTCACTTTCGTTCCACGGACAAACCAGCGGTAGGTCAGCATCACAACGTGCTGCGGCACGTGCTCGAAGTCATTCCGTTCATCCTCGTGCTCCTGCTCCACCGAAGATTATGAAGATGTCGGTAGCACCACCAGCTCAGCCATTGACGCCGCTATCATTCCAAAACTCCGGTAAGTGTGCTGTTATTGCTTAGTTTGCACCGCTTCACGCGCCTTTCTCACCGCTGGCACCACCTTGCTTTTTTGTTCCAAGGGTGTTTCATGAACAAAGCTTGTCAATGTGCACACTCACAAGCGTCAAGTTGCTTTCGTAGTTGGTAAATTTTGCAGTAATTGTCGGCTGTTCGGACGACTGCAATGCAGTTGGGTGTTTCTATTGCGCTGCTGAGTAAAATGGGGTGTGGGGGAGGGAAGGGGTATATCGACGCTAGGCAACAGTTATGATTTGGTTGTGTTTGCTAGGTATTGATGCAATCTCAGGTTTTATATAGGGCTGTGAAGCCCACCATTATAGACTAATGGATATGCAGTATATGCGCTGTCCAATTTCGATTTAAATAATCTTTTCATTCTTCTTCCATTAGAATTTGACTTTCAGCTCCAACGAATGCTGAGAAACGTCGTTCATTAAGCGTGGAAAGCATCAATCAGGAAAGTCGGTTCGCACCGAGGAAGCATTCAGCAATGGTAAGCTTTTTCGCGAATATTTTTTGTACAGATGATGAAATGGGAAAGAGCTGCTACATGTCAAGCATGTCCCTACCACTACCTGCTTGACGTGCAGCAGAGCTTGGCCTGGGTCAAGCCTCTGTGCTGATTGCATGTCAAGCGTTCCTTGGTAAAGCATTATAGAGTGCAAAATATCTATAGAAGAAAATTAGCTTCAAGCGGTTGTCCCTCCATTCGTTGTGATAAGCCACGCCATTTAAATTGTGCCGAGTTAGAATACCATTGAATACAGAAATCGCTTTGAAAAGCAACGTCCACCAGAATACACGATGCATATGTGGAGGACTAATGATGCGGCGTTGAAACTCCAGCTCAGGGGGGTAGGCACACGCCATTGTGCTCTCCAATACTAAGGATAAGGATAAGAGTTTCATGACACGTAATCGATTCATTTTTTTTCTGATAAGGACCGGTGTAGTGTGGAAGTACTTCTGAGGTGCTTTCAGATTTCGGCCTGCTGTGGTCCAAGGAAATGGTCCTGAACTAGGGTATGGACATCCTTTCCTAGGCGCAAGGGTGTAGGAGCCCAGGGTGGACGATCACATACCATAAATTGCCTAGGATGTGAGCAGGATGTGCGTGATGTAGGGCATACACCGGTCCTTATCAAAAGTGCACTTGAAATGAGTCGTTTACCTATTATCTTATCCATAGGTTAAAGTCCAAAGGAGTGCTCTCTAGTACTGCGGAGATAACATGGAGTACCCTCCCCCCTGGAGTTTCACCATGAGCGGTCTGTGGGCTTCATTTTTCACCAGAAGGGATCCGATACCAAATGGTGCTCCCTTTGGTGTATTACCATAACGACGCTCTCTCAGTGGCAGTGAACACGATGGTGGAAGGCGGAGCGACTTTGGTAACGTCGTTGGACTTCCATTGGTGGACCGAAACCCTCAGTATTATGGCGACCAGCTCCTACGCCCTTACACCAATCACGCCCCATGACCTCACCGAAAGCCCCACCCTTATTGCGCTCACTGCCTTTGAAAAATTTGGAGAAAATATCGCAATTTGCAAGACCGGCGAATGGCGTGTTCTAGAAAGGCGTCGAATTGGGAATGTGATCTCCGAAATTGAAGAACTGAAGTGATCATCAGCTTTGAATCCGATTCTAGCAAATACAACTGCGAATTTGGAAGTTTGTAAAGTTGTATAGACTATGCATTTCAGCAATACCGTGGTGCCCTGACATCTGACAGTTTTCGACAGGCAACCGATTTCTATAGCGAAAATCCTTACGGTTGGTCGAGCTGTTCTTCTTTGCTATTAAAAAAATGATCCTAATTCCAAAAGTTTAGGTGGACCACCGCATCCTTATCCTCCAGGATCACCTGTACTGGTGAAGCCTCGCTCAACAAGTCGAGACAAGGACAAGCAACGGCGGAAGAGTCTCGGCGGGTAAGTAAACTTACAATCAGCGGCTTTATAATATTTTGGATGCAAGTGCATTTTCAAGGCTCAGCTGGACCTGAATATCCATTGCGTATACGTTGTTCGAATTTTTTTGAACCTCACAAGACACACTAGCGTGGGAAATTGCGCCCTTAGGTGGCTTCGCCCACCATAGAAGCCCGGTATGCGTCTTCTGTTCACACATAAGTACAAATGCACATAAAATGTATCCGCCTTTAACACCATGTACTTCATCCCATGGGAGACTTCACTGTTGTAAGTCTACTTTGTTAGCGAAGGT